TTTAATATTTTAGAAGCTACTGAAGATAAGATAAGATATAAGAGCAAACTATTAATATATATTATTTGTGTAAATTAAATCAGAGAACAAGATCGGTAGTTACGTGAGTGCAGATCTTAGTATTAATATTATATTGAACACACCAACACCTTGACCCTTTTCTGGTATTTACTTAAGAACTCAAATTGATAGATTCCACTAAATCGAATAATTGATATGTGTGGGTAAATAGAAACTCAATCGGTCAATCAAACAATGTTCAAATACACATGTCAAGTGAGTCATGTAAGGTTCTCTTATCTTTTGCTGATACTCATGAATGCTCACCTTTTGTACAGTTGCGGATTTGGTGCCGTAATCCCGGGAAGGGTTAAATCTTAAGCTCGTTCAACAACACTGCTTTTGGCAATCAATGTAAAGTTTGTCAACACTTCTGATCAGTGATCGGATGCACTCTTTTGAGATATGCAGCACTAAATGTTATAATTCATTTGCATGATTTGCTTTGCATGATTTGCTTTCAAGTTTTAATTGCGATCTAAACACTGTGGATAAGTTGGCACTTGATAAGCGCTTTTGTGCGCTCGAAGCTTCGCTTCCTTTTCAAACTGAACTAACCCCGAGCCGAGTGCGTTGCCGGAGCCGGTGCGTCCGTGTCGAGTGCGCGACAGTTTTGATTTGAACCACATATTCTATGGACTAAGGGCACAATCTATGGATGGCATTCGAAAACTTGCGACAGTTGGCGGAACAAAAACGGGAAAAGCGGCAAACAAAAACTGAAATCAACTCAACTACGAGCGTGTGTCTGTGTGTGAGTGCTGTGTATGAGTGCATGAGTGTGTGTGTGCGGGGGTAAATTTGTTATTGTAGTGGTTGCGCGTTGCCTGCTCGCTCTCTGCACCACAGGAGCGAGCAAGAGCCAATTAGCGTGCGACAAAGAGCGAATGACCAGCAGACTCACAACCAGACAGAACGAGAGAGAGAGAGAAGGTGAGAGAGATAGATAGAGCGAGAGAATGCACGACGGGTGTTTGTAGAGTTCATTGTTGCTCTTGTTGTTGTTGTTGCTATTTTTTGGTGCTCGTCGTCGCAGCTCGGAGGACGCGAAGACGGCGCTGGCATCGCCAACGCGGCGGCTAAGTGATAAAAAGTTGCTGCCTCTGCTGCTGCTGCTGTTCGCTGCTCGCTGCTCACGTTTCTTACCTTCTGCATTTTGCATTTGTGTTTGTGTTTGTATTTGCATTTGTTTTTGTGTTTGCTCTCGCTGTCAATAACTGTCTTATGAGGCCTGTTTCTTTCTTTCTTTTTCTTTTTTTGTGTTGACCAATTGTTTGTCCTGTTTGTCCCTCGCCCCAGGTCCGTTTACTCTCGATGCTTCCCTTAAGGTGAGATTCGTGTATTATCATACAATATATCATAACCGCACTCAGCTAATCCAGTTGCTTATCGAAATTTGGCCGTCTCCTTGTTTGCGCCCACAATCGATCGTAAGTGCGATCGGAGTGCAAACACGCGATTATCTTGTCGTATATTCTGTTTGTGTGTATGCAGTCGTAGCTGGACTCGGATACCCTTTGACTTCCATTGTTTAAAGAGGGGAGTCGCCGGCTCAGTGGCCCTTCCCGTTCGCTGCGTGCTCCACAGGAAATTCGTCATCGAATTGCCATTATTTTCCAAATAATTGAAGTCGTAAAATATAACAAATTTGTTATGCTTCGATTCGCGATTGGGGTCTTATAAAAGAGCGCCTTTTATGGAGTAGTTTTATTCTAGGAAATTAGTACTTAGAGCAGAGCTCAAAACATGTTTGTTTTGAGACTCTCCACTTGATGCACGTTTCGCGCCAAAAGTGACGGAAATTTCAAATCAGTTTTCCCTCTGCAGCCTGGCGCATGCGTCGCTCTCCAAGGCGCTCGACTCGCTGTGTAGAGTTTTTGGCTAGCAGAAAGGTGGCAGGGGCGGGGAGCAGACGCCCCCACAGCCCGTGCGACATTAAAAATGGCAGCGCTATCAACTGTTGCCCACCCTCCTCCGGCCACCCCCACACAGCTAAAACCCCACCCCACCCCAGTGGTGCCTTTGTGCGACGACGTTGCGCGCATGTCGACGCTCGCTTGGCGCTTCGGCCAATGGCATAGACAATGCTCCGGAGGAGTGGGAGCTGTGGATGGCGCTGCGGCTGCTTAGACGCGTTCTCAATGGTGACGGCTTTTTTATCGTTTTTGTTTTGCATGCGAGCTGAATGCATTTTATTGGCCAAGGCGCAGGGCCAAGACAATGGGCAGCAACTGGTGGCCGTAGTTTTGTTTGACTCCTGCTGCTCCTCTGCTTCTCCCACTCGGTCGACTATTACTGCTGCTGCTGCTGCTGCTGCTGCTCAGTTCTGGCAAGTGTTATCGTGTCCTGGCACACACTATGCCAGCTGCCATTTGTTCTCGCATAATGGACATTATGGCTGCTCTATTATGCCCGGCATCAGGACAATGAGCAGAGCGTTGTTCAATTCCGCCAACTAACATTGCGCCACTTGGGTACCCGTTCCGGCCAGAACTTTGCCTGCTGCATGATTGCCATAATTTTGGGTATTTTTGAAGAGCTTTCTGTGACATTTGGCTAGCCAGTCCCTCGGCTGCTTCGCCTGAGCCGAGCCTCCGCTCATTGTCCACGGACTGGGCATTGTTTGGCTGTGCTTCAGCTGCAATAATTTATGGGGAGTCGTCTCCATCGTGGCCATCGTTACCGCATCGCCCGCAATTTCCATGTGCGGCTGAAAGTTTTTTTTTGGCCCCAAAATGGAAATGTGGCTAATCGTGATTTGTGGTTTAAGTGAGAGCAGGGAAACCACTGCAAAAAGCGAAGGCTGAGTACTGCAGCGACCACTGTGTGCGTGGCAGTTGGCCAACAAAATAATATCTCAATGCGACAAGGTGAATCTGATGAAGATTGGATAGAATATTATTGAAAACTCTATTTGATTATATATACTACTAGATAATAACGGACATTGTTTTGGTCAAGTATCCTAATATTTCTTGATGGCTATTTCCCATTGATGGCCATTGAAAGCTACAAATATATTTAACCAAAATTCAAAATCTCTCTTCAATTAAATTAAAGAGCTGTTATACAACTTAGATTAATTCATCAGATCACTTAATCACTTAGCTCCCTATCATTAATGATTAATTTAAATATTTATATCTCAATGAAATCCAACCCATATCCAATTTAATTTGAAAAACATTATTTAACATTGGAGCTATTACATATTTGTATTTTATATGTAGATTTTCAAATACATATATAAGGCTTTAGCTCCAAGCGTATCTTAATTTCTGAATATAAATATATAAATTCAATAAATAATTAATTAATTCTAATCTCAGCTTCACTCACTGTTATGCGGTATTGTAGAAATAGCGCATTTGCCACGCCCCTAGTGGGCGGATCGGGAAAATTTTAACACTTTATAAATCGGAGATATACACGAGTCAAGTCTCTAGCTTCAATAGCGCCGAAATAAACTGCGTGCATACGGTCAGACGGATAGACGAACGGAGAGCAAGACGGACATTGCACAAAACCAATATACTAATTCACTTACGTGAATGAGTATAATAAGTGCAAATCATAATTAGTTTCAAGAATATCAACCGAAATTGATAATTCATTTCGACATTCATAATTAGTAACATTAATATTAAATATATATTTTTACGTTAGTTTTATTTAGCGCATTTTCCTTAACTATTTGTAAATGAGTGCAAATACATAAAGTTTCTAAAATATCAATCGAAATTGATAATATATTCAAAGTGCTTTGAATTATTTTGTATTCAATATAACTATCAACCCTAGATGGCGGTAAAAATTCATGGTGAAATAAAACGTGGTAGGAAACAGAATACGACGTCAAGGAATAGCGCCATCTAGCAAGCAGTAGCAAAACAATATTCAATAACACGCAGTTTGTTTCAAATCTCGCAGCACAATTACTGGGCATGCGCCCTCTAGCGGTAATCTATAAATATTGTAAAATGAGTAAGCGCCCTCTAGGTGTCGACACACTCGTGGTGCGGTGTTAGCGCCATCTCAAGTTAAAACAGAATTTGATTGCATATCAAATTAAACGTGGCTATAAATTGAAATTCATGAATTATTATTATATATATATTTTATGCAATGCATTGCATTGGAGCAAGGCTCACAATGCACCATGCAATGCTGGACCCCTTCGCGCTAGGGCAGTTTCGCTAATTGCGGCTGTGTTCAACTTGGCGTAAAATTAATTAAATTTACGGCGATTTTTGCACCTTGAGTCGCACTAATTAGTGGCTAACGGTAATTTGTTTGAGTTGTTGCCGCTGCTTGAGCAAACGAAATGCGCGGCGTGTGTTTGTCAACGTGCCACGGCAGCTGATTGGCCAGAAGGAGCTGCCACGAGAAGTTCCCTTAATTAGGAAGCGTTTAACGTTTCGCGCGCTCTTGACTTTTGTCAAGTCTACAACCCCCGCCAGCACTGCTCATACTATTTAGGGCTCCTTCAGCCACCCACACTGCGGCAAGTCGGATATAAATAATTAAAAATTAAATGGAGAACAATAAAAAAGTTTTGCTCGGTTTGCTTGCTTGCTTTTTTATGGGAAAACTTTGAATTAGCTAAAGTGCAATGACAAAGAAATTGGGTAAAGGTAGGAAATAGAAAATAAAATTTCTCATTATAAATTGATGTTATATAATCTATTTGAAACTAATAGAAATAATTAAGTGTGAAAAATGTTCTTGGCTGTCGTCTTAAGTTCATTCCTTCTTTTCTTTCTCTGGTAAAATCGAATGGCCTCTTCAGGAGCTTCACCAGAAAGACATATTTGGAATGATAAAACTTAAGCTTCGCTCAGGGTTAGTCCTTAGTCGAACAGCCGCGACTAGATCACTCAGTAGTAAATCATTTATTTGAAATGAGCTCATTTGTTTTGTTGTATTTTGTTTTTGTATTTTAATATTGTATATGTGTAGAATTTAAATACATTTAAATTTATGCTATGCACTTCGTTCAGCGTTTAAAACATAAAAAATTGCACCGCTCGTTGTCTGCCTTATGTGAGAATCCTCCAGCACCTGCTCCTGCTCCTTGCTGCTGTAGCTAGCTCCTGTTTCTCCTTCTCCTTCTTCTCTTGCTTCTGCTTTTGCTTGTGTTTGCTGTGCAGCTGCTCTTCGTTTTAACAAAGCTTATGATTAATTTACAACTCGAGACTTAACTGTAAAGTTGGCTACGTTTAACTTTAATCTCGCATTTCCTAAGTCATAGACAAGTTTAGCTCCTCGCTACCATTGGACGATGGTGGTCAGAAGATGACCGTCAGCGGTCGACGAAAATCTGAGGCGCCCCCAGCGCCGCCCCCACCACCAGCTGCCGCCCCGGCGCCCACTCCCACTCCAACGCCGGCGGCAGCGCTGGCCAACTGGCCGCCATACTGCTGAGCATATTGATGAGCATAGTCCAAGCCCACATCGCTGGGCGAGTGGAGATGCGGCTTCGATTCCTGGCCACCCGCGTCCAGCTGGGGCGTGGCATCGCGCTCGTCCAGCCCGCTGCTGCTGTTGTTGTTGTGCGAGCTGCCACCAGCACTGCCAGCACCGCCACCACTTGCGCCGCCTGCTCCACTGCTGGCCATGAGCAGTTGGTGCTGCTGCTGCTGCTGTTGGTGCTGCTGTTGCTGTTGTTGTTGGTGCTGCTGCTGCTGATGATGCGCCGCCGCGTGCTGCTGGGCGCCATAGATCTTGGAAATGTCAAAGGCATAGTTGGCACGATCCTGATACATTTTCGAGTCGAAGTAGGCCTTGGTCAGCACACTGGGGTCCAGGTAGGCGCTGTATGCACTCGCCTGGCTGCCCGCCGCGGCCGCTGCTGCATTACTCAGATATGAGCTGCGCTCCAATGCGGCAAATTTGTCCATCTGCCCGGACAGTGTGGCCTGAAAAGAAGCAGGAACAGTATATTAGTAGATTAAATATATCAGTTAAGCCAAAGATGACGGCTGATGCCAGGTCTGCAGTGAATACGAACGAGCTTACTGACGCGTATTTCTTCTCAACTCAACTTAATTCAAACTTTCAACTGCCAATTTAATTTCAGACTATAATCGTATAATGATGTGACAAATCAGCAAGAATATTGTTGTCGGGTATGTCCGACTGAATAGCACTAATTCTCTGCTACACTCTTTGCTTTGCATTTATATAGATTTTCCCTATTCATGGGGGATTCTTAGTCACTGCCTAATGTATAGGCTTTCTCTCTATAATGGTAAGAAATACAGCGACAGTGTGAGAGAGAGGGAGAGAGAGAGAGAGCAATCTAAATACACTTTAAAAAAGTCTATTTATTCTGATATCCCATTTTTAATGAGTATAAATATACACTAATCAAACTTTTGAGAATCGCATTGAAAGGCAAGATTATTAAACACGGTTAGGAGACAGAGATTCTGCGATAGAGATAGCCTGAAAGCTATAAGTTAAGTAAGTTAATAGTTATAGATGGAGAGAAACCCAAAAAGGAACAGGTAGCAAGAGGGAGAGAGAGAGAGAGAGAGAGAGGGAGAGGGAGAGGGAACTGTCCCCCTCAGTTGTGTTGAAGTCTTCTAGCTTGTAACTACGCCAATTGACTCTATTTACTTAATATGGGAAATTATTAATCTGTTTCTGAATAGACGTAATGTGCTCTGATTTATAAACGAAGACCTGTTTGTCGCTAATGGGGGTATGGCAGGGGTGTGAGTCGTAACCCTTGGTTAGTGCAAATTGCTTAACACTTTTGCGGCTTTATTTGACCAACTAATTGTGGACGCGAGATGAACAACCCCACACGGCAAGTAAATAGAAAAACACGTCTCAGTTTAATGTTATTTGATTTGCAATACGTTTCTCATTGCAACACCAGTCGTTGGTGTGCTACGGGGCTCGGTTCAAGTCGTCGACGACTTGATCTGGGAACGGGACTTAGCCTAGAACTGGGTACTGTTTACAGGGTACTGGGTATTGGGCTCTGGGCTCTGGGTTCTGGTGAACGGGTGCGCAATGTTAAGTGCGTCAGGGGTTGTTTTGCTTCATATCCGTTTTGTTTTGAGTGGTTGAATCGAGGGGTTGCTCCCCGTTCGCAGAGCACTTTGCTCTGGGCTATAATTATGTTGTTAACACATCATCATCACCATCATCATCACCAGCAACAACATCAGCGCCAACAGACCCGGATCCCTTTCCATGTGTGTGTGCGTGTGCGTGTGCGTGTTTGGGCCGAAAGCGTTTTGGATTACAATTTGATTTGATTTGATTTGCGCCCAATTGGGAATTAGTGAGGATTGGTAAATATTTTGATGCACGGCGATTTACGCGCAGTTGGTGTTTGTATTTCGGTCGCTCTCAATTGGGCATTATTTCGTCAGTTAATTGATTTAGCTGGATGTGTTCAAGTGGTTTGAGTCTTAAGCCCGGAGCCCGCTAGGGTTTCGGCTAGGGCAGGTGGCTAAACTGTCGCAAAGGCTGCTTGGCTGTTGTCATTGGGTAAATTGGGTACATTTCCGCAGTCAGCTGAGCAAACTCTGGGATGCTTGGAAACAAGGATCGATTTTAGTCTAGACGCGGCTGGCATAGCCCCAGCCCCTTTGTGGCTCTGGAATGTTTCTAAACTTGGGCTTGGTGGCCAGCCGCATAATAGTGAGATGTAAAGGTGAGTGAATGGCAGCTTGGCCGTCGTCTAATCCGCCCACTCGCATGCAATTTCCATGTACAGATTTCAGTTTGGGCAACGGGAACGCTTGCTGCCTTTAAAGTTGGTCTGTTATTACAATAGCACGGCCGGGCCGAGGCATATTATTAACCAAGTAATGCTATTGTTGGCCAGTAATGCTAGGCTTTCAACACCCGCAACGCATGTTAAGCAGCCGCAGACATCAATCACTGCCTCAAATAGGCAGCCAAGAGCCCCGCTCCAACAATGCCAAGCAACAGTCATGACTTTTAATGGGTTGTTAATAAACACACGGTCCATGGCTGTCCGGGCGAGGGCCTCAAGGAGGGCGAGAGCATCTCCCCAACGGCTCTGAGAAAAGGTCTGCGCAACGCCCTCAATGGCTGGAGCCTGCCCCAAACCTTTGCTTCGAGTGCGTATTGCTACTGCTCCAAGTTTTAATTGCCAATTTTGTTAATTTTTCCCTTTTCTCGTGCTGCTCAGCTGGACCCTACAAAGGGTGTACCCGCAACCGTACCCGTACCCGCACCCGTAGTCGTACCCCGTTGTTCAGGCTTTTGTAGCACCTGCCCGCTATTTGTTTGTTTTTGCGCTCGAGGCCTTGTTATCTCGGCGATCTCGGGTGCCTGGTAGCTAAATGTGCAATGACAACTTGTGGCAAATCCTTAGCATGACATGTCAGAACTCGACCAGGATCGAATCGTGATCAGGAAGCGTGTCGCGCTTAGTCACGGCCGCCTGTTTTCCGCCTTTTAAAGTGGGCGTCTGCCATGGGAGTTTGTAATTATGTTATTAAGGCGACCCGACCCGCGTACCGATCGATGTAATTGGACGCGCTACCGTTCAGCATTTATTTATTTTTTTGCTGCCTGATGGACGTGCCAGGCACTTGAGCGCTTAACCCCCGCCCGACCCAAGCCCAGACCCAGGACCGGGCTTTGGAGTGTGGATCTGGAATACGCTGCAGACTAGACTAGTACTCACCTGCGTTGTCGTTGGCGGCGACGTCTGCGTGAGATGGCTGCCCAGGTGATAGGCGGCCGCTGTGGGACCCGGAGCAAAGTAACCCGGCGAGATGCCTGCAAGTGAAACCAAACAAACTCAAGTGAGAGAAGGTAACAAGACAACAACAACAACAACAGCAACAACAGAAACATCGGCGAAGAAAAAGAATGAAATAAGTTTACAATAATTATTACAATGGTTGGTTTGGGTCTGTTGTGCGCTTAAAATAATTGCCACTCGAAATATTTTGCGCCCTTTGTTCGGCCTCGGCCAACTCTTTCATATATTTCGGAGCGAGTTAGCTCTTTCTCTGTCTGCGTTGCCTCCATATAATTGTGCGCTGAATCAGCTATTTTGGGTGAGCTATCTCTGCATCTGATAGATGCCAAGCGCTGCTAACCAATTGCCCTAAACGGTAGTCGTCCGGCTGCCCTCTTGGCCTTTTGTTAACGGGGTCTCGATAATTACTGGCGCCGCTTATTGAAAATAAAGTAAAACAATTAAATTATATATCTATGAAAAATACATCTCATTCATGGCGCTAGCCGAGAGAGTCTCCAAATTGCTGGATGCTGTGGCAATTAAAATTGCTTCGGCAACAAAGCCGAACGCATTTTTGTTCGCCTCAAGTAGCGACATTTCGACATCAATCGACTTGGCATCATCTCATCTTCATCTTCATCTCATCTTCATCTGCATCTTCATAGCCATTATATATCATATAACAGCGGATTAGGTACTACACAAGGCCTTAACTGGTAGCTGCTGTTTGTCTTCTTCTTCTATTATTATTATTATTATTATTAAATTAACATCACAATAAACACTGAAATCGTGTGTTAATATCGCAAAACAACTTTGTATTATGGCTCGACCTAGGCACTGTTCAGGGATTTCTTGTAAACCCCCAGAGAACTGATTTCTTTTAAAGCCATGTTTGCCAAAGTTGAGCCATGTTAATGTCTTGGCTTTCCAAAATTTGTTTACATTTTTCAATGTATGTAAATATCGGTAATAATAAATAATTTCACTAAAAGCATTATTTCTTGCAAAATAATAATTGATACCTATTTATGGCAGTCTTTATAATATTTTATCTAACTAAGAATCTTATGAATCGCAGTAGCAATAATAATTGCAAGTAAAATTTGAAATAATTATTTATATTATATTTATTTTATATTTGATTATATGTGTATTTTAGTTTACTACTACTATTTAGTACACCATTTATAGTGCCATAGAATTTTGTAGAATTCATCCAGTAAATGACATTTATACAATGCTATTCCACTTCTCCAGCTGTTGCATGCCTCAGTTGGCATATGTGCTTCATATCTATGTGCTACGTCCTTGTCTGACGTTCTTTGGCCACAATTGGCCATCTTTGTTCCGCAAAGCCATTTTAGATAGTGCCGTGTGCATTGAAGTGAGACTTGAGCAAAGGCAATGGAAAAGGCAAAGCCTAATTCGGTTTATTTATTACGCATTTCCTAGTATTTTTATTATCATTTCCGTTGCGCATAAATCATCTGGATGGCATTGTCCTTAGCCCAGGGCCGCTGATCCCTGAGCCAATGCCAATGCTAATGGCAACGGCAACGCCAACGCACAAATTTGCTGCCACATCAGCAAAGTGAAGCCAAGAAAGTTGCGTTAAATTTGAGGGCCCAAGCGGGCAAAAAAGACAAAAAACGTGACAAATGCTAATTTAAGTCCTCCAACCAAATCCAAAACAACTACAGACCGAACTGCCACCCCCGCCGACCCACTGGTTGTGGAAATCATGAATGTTAACTTATGCTTATGCTCTGCCTATGTCTGTTCCTTCAACCTTCCGACTGTCCTGTCTGTCGTGTCTGTCGCGTCTGTCGCGTCTATCGTGTGTGTCTGTTCTGTCACTTGAATTGAGTTGTTAAGCCAGGATGATGACTTCACAGTTTGTCAGAGCATGCGAATGGGTGGTTCCGGTGGTTCGTAGTTGCCGCCCCCTCGGCTGCCTCGCCCCGCGCCCGACGCCATATTGCGCAGGTGGGGGCGCCATTGTTTGCCGCACAAACAAAACCCCAGTCGAGCCAGTCGACCGCTCGAGTGTGAGGATAGTTTGTCATATTCTCATTCAGTCCTCAGGTTCATTTATAGTGCTTCGCCTGGGTGGGACTCGGCCACATATCGTGCCACATTTGCATTTGTCTTGCGCCAAAGCTCATAAAACGCACCCTTCTACTTTGCATAGCGGGTGCTTCAAGAGGTCCTCGGCATGAAACTTAATTGGTTTATTGATGGGACTGCTTGTGGCATTTCGATTGTTTTACTTCCTTGAAATGTTTGCATTGAGTCTTGTATTGTATTTTATTTTTATTTTTTTCATTCTGCAGATCTTTGAGATATATTTTCTCAAAGTAGTGAAATCAATTTGGTCTGTAGGACATGCATCTATTGTAGTATGTATAGCTTTGTCCCAATTTAAATGGTAAATAATTTTTGAAATTGTATGTAACAGTCTGAACGAGGCGTGGCAGAGCTTTTAAAATATATATATTCCTGATCAAAACTGTAAGCTGAGTCGATTTAGTGCTGTTCCTTTATTTTTTCGTCCTTCCGTATGTGTGAACGCGTCGATCTCAGTACACACAAGAGCTAAAGAGCTCAAATTTGTATGTAGGGCCGCATACAGCATGTGCAGACAAGAAGATCAATAACTATTTCCATTTTACTGTTATCGACTTAAAATATTCGATGTTCACTTATTTATTTGCAGTTCGATTCTCTTTGCAGAAAGAACTTCAAATATCTTTATATTTTATTCAGAGTCATGTTTCTGTTATACAAGTTTTATTGTTATTTTATTTATTATATCTTCTCCTAATTCGGGGTTCAGGGTATATTATGTTCGGACAGCTCTAGAGTTCTGTCAGAATTCTAACAGCCTACGTCAAATTATTTAAATTTCAATCTAAGTTATTCCTGCTTACCTGCACGTAACGCCTCCACTGGCACCGATGGGTATGGCATGGGATACGGGTAGCCGTCGCGTCTTAGGGCTTTGGGCTTGCGCCTGGGCCGATACTTGTAATCGGGGTGCTCCTTCATGTGCATAGCGCTGTGCAGAGGGAAAATGCCAAATGAAAAGGAGATTCAGTCGAGCAGCAAGCTCTACTTACCGCAAACGTTTGGCCTCATCGATGAACGGACGTTTCTCTTCCTCGGTGAGCAGCTTCCATTCGGCACCTGCAATTGAGTTATAATATAATGATATAATAATAATAATAGTAATGGGAATAATACGATGTGAAGAGTCGTTAATCCATTAGATACTTTGTGTGGGGCATTTGCAGCAGTTGTCAAAATATGGCAACACAATGAGCCGCATTCATGACAGCCTGCTCCAGAAGTGGACGCACATCAACATAATTTCCTAACAGCCAGGCACACACAAACACACACACACATACATGCACATACATGCACACATACATAGACATGGAGTATAAACTTGTCTTTTCTGTGGTAACAAGAAGGATATCAAATACGAAACAATGTTGTCGTCGTTTTCCTCCTCTGGCACTTCCTTTGCATCGCTCTATCTCTTTCTATTGTCGTTTGGCCATCTTCATCGTCTGTCCCTGTCTATGTGGCCACCATTGTTGCCAGTTTTGGCATTGTCGTTTGTTGTTGTTGTTGTTGTTGCTGTCCTTGTTGCTGTTGTTGTTGCTGTTGTCTCGTTGTTTGTCTCATTGCCTGTTTGTCAGCTCAGTCAGTCAGCTCCTCATGCCTCAGACCGGCAGTGGCTGGTTAGAGAATGCTGCCGAGTCCTTGCACGATAATGGCCCGAAAACCAGCAGGTGGTTTGGGCCCGTTTGGGGGCGTGCTTTTGTACCGCATTCTGTCTCGCTCTCGCGCCCCTAACATTCAGCCAACGTTCGCTTTTGAGGGCGGCAAGTGAGGTTGTATTTTGTATTTGCGTTTGTATTTGTGCTGTATGAATGTGCACACACATATAGTAGTACATGGCAGATGCACGTGCCACACACTCATAAATGGCAAGTGGCAAGTGGCATGGCAGACCCTCCACTTGCTTATGTGCTAGTCTGTCGCCTCTTAGGCAGCTTGTGCGTTCACATTATGAGCAGAAATTGCAAATGTTTTTAAGTTAATGTAAAATGTTATAATGACATGTGTCATAAGCGCGCTGATGATATCGCAAATGTGGCACAAACAGCACTTTACTTATTTGTCTCAAGTGAGTTCGTATATTTATGAATAAGTTTATATTTATGTATCTTATTTATATATGTGTATATTTATGTACTAAATACCAGTTGCTGTGTGAAAATCGGCCTTTAAATCAAATGTGTTTAACGGGCAGAAAGAGGCTTGGTAACTGTGGTAGATATATTCGTGATCAGGACAACAACAGAGGACTTGACCTCTACTCGTTCGCCTGTTTTTCCATTCGAACTGAAACTTAAAATGTTATACAGTGGACTCCCGATATTTCGTATGACAAGAGAGCAATATTTTCTATTTTCTATATTTTCTAGAGCTATATGAGTTTTCCATATGTCCAGATTTTTACTTAACAAGGCTAAAGAATAATAATAATAATTTAGTAAATCTAAGAATCACAATTGGAAACTTCTATTTATTAGATATTTGTAGAATACTCTTTTATAATATTTTTAATTCATTTTAATTTGTTTATTTAAATTGTTTTGCTCTCTCAACTCGTTGTTTTCAGTGTAAAGTGGTATACGAGTCTGTAAAACATAATTTAACTAAACAAAAACTTTTACAAAATTCTCAATTTCACCAATGGGATAGCAATTCTTACGAATTATTGAAATTCTGTCTTTATCGTGTCTCCACTATTTACAAATTCTTGAATTACGACAGAACTATTTCAAGTATATATATCCAATATTTCCTACATCACATTCCATTGCCTTAACGATTAGCTAATTGCTAAATACGCGTGTGAGCATTTGATATGTATTTATATTCAAGTGTAGATAAGCTTTACTTGTTGAGATTATGACAGTTGTAAGGCTCCAAAGTTTATTAATCCACTTAGAAATATATATCATGTATTCCATATGAACATATTGGGAAGTGCTGTCAATGCAGCTATAGTTCTAGTTATCTAGTTATTCCTTGCTTATCCTTAATGCTTATCCTTGCGCTATTCCATTCTAGGTAATCGTTCTCATTGTGCAGATTGTAAGGGAAATGCCCAACAAAAGAAATGGACTTGGGGGAAAAGTCCTTAATTAGTTGTAACGTATAATTTTAGTAGCTGCAAGGAACACACACACTAACACACTCACACTGTCACACAAATTGCATTGTTGAGGCGACACAATACTAATGAGAAGCTATCTGCTATCCATAGGACGGGGTTGACCGGGCTAAGAAGCAACGACTGTCAGGCCCACACACACACACGCGCGCGTACTCAAATAGACAGCCACACACACACACACACACACACACAAAAGCTGAGGTAGTTGAACAAAAACTATAACAATAAACGCAGCACAAAAGCACAATTGTGCCAAGAGACTAGACATGTGCCCACACCCACGCTCACGCCCCCGCCCCGCCCACATTCATGTGCAAGTCCGCACGCCTCCTCAATGCGAAGCTGGTGGCACTCATAAAGCAAGTAGCTGCCCCACAGCTGGCAGCTGCTGCTAAAATACTAATTTATAGATACATTGACAGGCCGTCCAAGTGGCAACTGGGCATCAAATGCGCAACTTGGCTCCTGTGCACGACACCTTGTGGAGCATTTGGCTGGGGCACAGCCTTCCAGACAATTCACATAATAATAAACAAGACGCAACAGAACGAGCAAGAGGCGAAGAACGAGAGTTACGAGTGAGACAATGTGAGAAAGAGGGAGAGAGGGAGACAATGGGAGTGGGGCAGTATCTACAAGTTGTGCAGTTGTATAAACTAAGAAGGGCGCACTGCCGAGTTGACATGCCACAAAAGGATGACAATTGGACAATGTCTATGTTTGCCCGCTGCCGTCTGGCGCCTCCCCTGTGCTGGGCTGGAGCTGGAGCTGGAGCCGCAACTGGAGCCGGTTGAGTGGCCGGCTTAATAATTGATATGAAAAACAAGTACAAGTTGCACATGACAGTTGCCAAGATGTGAGATGATGATGGCTGCCAGTTGAGCTGGCTCAAGCATAATTAACAAGTTTTTCCCCAGCCGAAAGACAGCCCAAAGAAACACTGGAAAATGCCGGCTGCTAACCACAGAGCAAATATTTAACGGACGTCGGCTCCAGTTGCAGTTTGTAGTTCACACAGCTCACAATTGGGGCTGCGAGTAACCCTAGCTCTGCCTCTCTAGAACAGAGTTCTGGTAGTGGGGGGCTAAGGCTACTTTTGGGACAGTTCTCGGGGCTAACTGAGGCCAGCATTCACACATCACACAATTGGGCCACTTATGGGATTATGGAGTCTGGACGTGAACTATTTGGGGTTTCTGTTTACTCTGAGCTCTGAGCGTGGCTCCCACTCGACCGTTTGCTCCCATCTGAACTCATCGTTTGACCAGAGATTATATTGTTTACACAGCAATTTGACGTTGTCAAGCACTGGAAAAGCGGAAAAACTGACCCATGCTTCATGAGAGGTTAAAGTGGAGAATGAAGCGAAGCTCACGGAGAATGTTATACAATTGTAGATGCTCAGCCAATGTTGGACATATTTAAATGGTGTAGTATTAGGGTAATATATGAGTGTAATATATTTATAGACAATTAAGCTGATGACATTATGTCATATTACAATAGCTTAACAGCTAAGCTGCTAACTTTTTTCTATGGCTAAAAAATATTTTAATTCTGCATAGAGATGACTGAATAATATATGATGTAAATAAATGTAATTTAATAAATGATGGAAGACTGTGTCTGAAAGTTATATACATACGTATATACATATATCGAATAAAATATAACTAGGTTTAGCTGGGTTGAGTGCAGGAGAAGCCTCCATTCGTCATTTCCATTATAATACGTTTATTATTGAGTTGGAATCACACAGATTTTTCATATAATATTATTATTTATTTATTTTGTATTTTTTTATTATTATATTTTATAAATCTAAATTCTTATATTTTTGATTTCCTTCAAAAACCGAAGCTGCCTTCTACAAAATATTCTACTGATTGGTACTCTCTCTCTTTTTCTTTCTTCACTAGTCCTATAGTAATGTTTCGATATAAAGGCTTAATGTGTATGTCCCCTATTCCATATATGCTATCATCCTAAACCAAGATATTCATATTAGCTCGCAGTTTGCGCAATTCGAACATGATTAGTATAAATAAGAGAATTGAACAGAAACAAATGGACGTTGTTCCTTTTGCAAGGAACTGTTTTCGCATTGCCCTTCCCAGCTAATTCGTCTTGTTTTTGCAGTTGGGCTCTCATTGTTGGCTAGAACGCCCCAAGGGTTTTCCTTTCATAATTATACAACTGTTTAATTTTGATGGTGCCCGTTTCGATTGAGCGTGTTGTAATTAAGTCGAAGTCTTTCAATCCGTCGACCGTCTCACACACCTGTCAATTGCCATGCCGACCTTCGGGCCCTGCTCCGCTCTGCTCTGGAAGGTGGATTCGTTGCCTTTTACCCCAATTGCAAACTAATCAATTGTTTGCGCTTTATTGTGCAACAAAAGGATTCGGTGGGCGGGGCAAAAGGCTTGAGAGTTCGACCTTTTGTGTTGGCAGCGCAATGCAAAGTCGCAATCGAATCCGAGTCGAAGTCTTTGCCATTGTTCGAGACCCGTCAGTCAGCGAGTCAGTCAGTTAGTCAGCCAGGCTAACATCCATCTCTCGGGGGGCTTTGTTTAACAATATTTAATATTCCCACTGGAGCTGGGTAGAGTTTTGATTAAAAAAAAAAAATAATAATAATAAAAAGGAAAAATGAAGGCGATTGCCGATTCGACAGGTTTTTCAATTATTTTCAAAACAATTTTCCATTCAGCACAGAGAGAAAAAAAAAGAGCGAATGCCATTTTGTTGCTGTCGCTTGCCACCGTTTGCGCTGCTGTTGTTGTTGCTGTTGTTGTTGTTGTTGCTGTTGCTCATTGTTTGTTTTGTTGTTAATTCAAATTTCCAGACAGTAATTAATGACAGTTACAATTTCAATTAAGCCCAAGCGCGCGCTCAGGAAAAAAAAATGCTTTCTATAACACATCTTTTTTTATTTTATTTTATTTTATTCGCATTTGCTGTTGTTGTTTTTGTTTTGCCTTTTGTTTTGCATAATAAAATAAATGGCAACGCCGACGGCGACGGCGACGGCGACGGCGACGCCGACGTCTGAAGAGCTCTCCAGAGTTGCCAGTCGCCAGCTGGCAGTTACCGTTAGTCGACGCTCGACGCTCTTCGCCAGTGCCTTTCGCATTGTGCCTATGTATGTGTGTGTGTGTGTGTGTGCGTTGAGAAAAAAGTAGCTTTCGCGCCGCCATTTTTTGTGGCGCCTTTGTTGCTGCCACAGTTTTTTGTTAGCCGCCTTTTCTCTGCGCAATTTTTCATAATGAGCCATTTTTTGCTGAATTCATTTTATTTCATTTAATTGAATGCCAGGGCAAACTTTTCAAGTGCAAAACTTTGTCATTTGTGTAAATGTGGCAAATGGTTTATTTATATTTTATTTTTGACGGAGTTGCCACATTGTTGCAGCCCTTGCAGTTCGACTTGGCCGCGGCTCTGCTTTAAACCGTGCGACTTGGCTCTGCCGCAACTCTCAATTCCATCAAGACTCGTCTCATCTTGTGTCGTTCCTTTTCTATTTCCTCGTTATCTTAAGCGAGTTACCTACATACATCTTGAGCCCCCCTCTGGCCCACTCCGCTCAAGGACTACAATGGCGAACGGCGTCTTTTTCGTGTGCCCTGCTCAAAAAATCGAGAGAACTCAACAAAGGCTGCAACTGACAGCAAATATTACACAGAACTGTCAATTGACATAATGGATTTGCCAAAATACAATAACAACAACAACAACAACAACGACGACAAAAAGGTGAAATGAAATGGGAACAAAAGCTCACGCCTTCCCACAAAATCTCAGCCCACCCAGAAAAAAAAAACTCAAGTTTGTTTTCGAGTGCATATTGTGTTTAAATTGTCGTTGTTGTTGTTGTTGTCGTACATCGATTTTCATATATTGGTTTCGGTCTGCTACTTGAGCTTTGCCCGTAAAGCGTTTGCAGCCAGTTGCCTGATTAAGAAATGCCTTTAAAGTCTATGAATGAAGAATAAACACACAGCATGAAGCAGCTGTAGCAACCCTTATTGCCTGGCTATAACAACAATTGGCAATAAGGTAGCTGCGTTCCGCAGCCCGAATTAGCGGATGAACTTTAAAGTAAAATATTAAATAAAATATATTTAATTCAAAATAAGAAATTATATATAAAAATCTGTTTTTACATTCTCAAAATAAAGACAAAAGTATAAGATTTGACAGGGTCATCGATAACTGTTCCCTTACCTACTATGATATTATATAAATAATATTTTAGTAAATTCTTAAATTGCCATCGAAATTATATTGCAATTAGCAAACATTTGACGAGGTATTCTCTAGTCGATAACTGTTGCATTACTTTGTGCCCCATCTGCTGCCCCCATTCAAGTGCAGCGAGTTCGCCTTTTGTTGTTGTTGTTGTTGTTGTCGCGCTCAACTGCACTGCAAGTGAGTCGCGTTTAATTTGCATTGTTTTTGCTTAAACAAAGGTAAAAAAGAAAAAGTCATTTTACAAGTGCTTCAGTGGCGGAAACTCTTTGGATGAGGTGAAATGGAAGTGGGAGTGAGTGGCCGCCCGTCGAGTTTGATTAAAAAATTGCACAAAATGGCTGCCCCAAAAGCTCGGCGGCAGCAACATTTGGCTCGTTATCGACGAGGGAGGCGGCGCTGTTATCGCTGTTATGACAGTATTTTCCGTGGGCCCGATTGGTGTACGGCAAGAAAGCAGCTATGCCAAGACTCTAGACTCATCCAATATGCATGAGCTGGCCGAAAAGGTAGCTGCGTCGCTTGCCCATTGTTATGCTAAGGATCTCTGCTGTCACTTGCCACGTGCCCTGCCCGAGCTGCGTGTGTGATTGAAATTGAATTTGATGCGAATTGAAAACCAAAACCTAGAGGCCCAGATAAGATTCGTTGTTTGTGCGTGGGATTAGCCGTTGCCGCCGTCGCCCCACTAGAAGTAAACTACTTAACTTTGCAACTAGCTAAGCGGCGAGACAATGCTGCAGGAGGCAGGGGGCAGTGGACGGGAGGCAGGAGGCAGAAGGCAAGCGGCGATGATTTGGCAGAGTCTCACTTGGTGGGTGCGTGTGTGTATGTGTGTAGGCAACCCTTCTTTGATTCATATACGAGCATAATCAACAGCTTCCTTGGCTCGATCTGCTCTTCCTGCCATTGTTTGACAGCCGCTTGTCAGTTTTGACAGTTGCGTTGAGTGCGCGCAACGGACGAGTTTTTGGTTTGTCATTGTCATAAACCGAAATTCAGAGTGGGTGGCAGTCAGGCAATGGCAATGGCAATGGCATTGGCAAGGGCAAGGGCAAGGGGCAGGGTATACCAGTTGGTATTACGTTGATTAGTTTAAGTTGCATAAGTAAGCTGGAGAAAGAGATTGGGAGCGAGGGGGCGGGGCGAGCGTGAGTGGGCGCGAGAGATTGGCAGGTCGTGTGCCGCCTCTTAATTTAGTTTTGTGTGAGATTCTTTCATTGTTTTCAGATTACAAACATACTACGAGTGCTTGCACAGAAAGCCACGGCTCTTGCCCATTGTGGTTCATTAAAAAAAAGGAAACAGAAGGAAAGAGAACGAGATTAAAGCGCATACAGTCTGAAAACAATTTGGATTCCAGCTGAGCTGTTTGCGTGCTCTCGAGCCATTCAATTTAGCTCTCGGCTCAGCTAATAACTGAAGTGGAGAGCTCTGCTGCTCCGGCAGCGTTTATAGAACTTATGGGAATACAATCATATACTAGGTAAATATTAGCACTCACCCAGCCTCTTGGATATCTCCGAATTGTGCATTTTGGGATTATCCTGGGCTATTTTGCGGCGCTGCAAGCGTGACCAGACCATAAAAGCGTTCATTGGACGTTTGATGTGCTCCTCGTTCTGGCGCTTCGTTGTGTTCTGTATCATCAGGCTGAAGAAGACATCGCTGTGAATGGATTAAGGAGAAGCCGTTAGCGATAACAATTAACGAGATTGAGTGCCAACGTCCACTCACCTGGCGCTGCTGCCGCTGTTCATGAGACTGCCCATGTTCTGGTGCAGGTTGCTGATGGGCGACGCCTGCGAATTGTGGTGCAGGTGGGCGGCGGCGGCGGCGGCCATTACGCTGTTCGATGTGCTGGACGTGGACGTGTAGTGGACCGGAGCACTCGAGCTGGAGCTGCCCAGACTGTGACCCGCGCTCGCGGACAGATGCGGGCCAATGCCGTTGCTGTGGGGCTGGTGCGACTGCGTCTGCGACTGGCTGTGTATGGAGCCCGCCCCGGAGCTGGCCGCCTGGCTGTGGTGCGAGGCTGTGGAATGTGGCTGCTGCTGCTGCTGCTGAGCCGCCGCTGCCTGATGATGCTGGTGCAGCTGCGAGTGCTGCGAGCTCAGGTGATGAGCGGCCGCTGCGGCTGCCGCCGAGTGATGCAGGTGCGGATGCAAGCTCAGAGCCGAGGATCCGTTGCCGTTGGGCGAGCCGCCGCCGCTGCTGTTGCTGTTGCACTGGTGGTGGTGGTGCTGCTGGCCCAGCTGACCCAGCGACAGTTGCTGGCTGTGATGGTGGGCGTGGCTGTGGGCGTGACTATGCTCACTCGAATGCTGTTGTTGCTGTTGCTGTTGCTGCTGCTGCTGCTGCTGCTGCTGCTGATGGTGCTGTATTAGTTGGCCCAGATGCGTGCCGCTGCTGGAGCTCACCGAGCTCAAATGACTCTGCAGTGGATGTGCGAGCGATAATCCAGAGAGCGACAAGTGCGTGGATAAGCGTTCCATCATTTTCTAGACGGAGCTGCAGTCGAATTGCTGCTGGCTCTTGGCCGGGACTCTGTGGTTGCTGCAGTGGTTCGTATGGACTCAGTGGCTAAGGTGCTTTGCAGAGTACAAGTCAGGCTGTTGATTGGGTTGAGATGTTGGTCATAAGTACTATTGCCACAAAGCGTATTAAATTCAAATTCGAAATTAAAGCAGCTCTCTCTTCTTCGTTCTTCTTCCTTTGTTAATCAATTAACTAATTGATTTGGGCTTTTAAAAGTGTGTCGCCTGTCGCCCGTACCCCAAATGGCTTGGCTCCAGGCCGTGTTCCCCCCGCTACTGCAGTGTAAAGTGAAAACAATGCCGGCGGTCGCCACCTCAACTCGAGAAACCTTTTCGCTCGAGCCCTTTGTGTGCGCCCAAATGTCAACCCTTAGGGAGGACGGGCTGCACACGCCGGCGACGGCGTCCAGAAACATACTGGATACGTCCTGTTCATTATGCATATGGGCACTTGAAAGCCATTTCTTTTCATTCGAGAGTATTCTGCCCGCTGGCCGGGCAGAGGCAGAGCCATAGGCACAGGCACAGGCACAGGTCGCCGGGTCATTGGACGTTGATAGGTTTCAAATCTGAGTCTTTAGCCATTCACATGTGCGTGCATTATAATCGGGATTTATGTGGTCCACTTGATGCCCATGCCAAACGAGAATGTGTGGGTCGTTCGCATTAATGTGTTAAATACACACCACCAATACACAGTCACTCACGCACACACACACACACACACGCATATGTTTTGTAGTGGCAAAAGGGTTCCCGGTTCATGGTCAAGAAGCTTCGTCCGGCTAAACGCTTTCAATTTGCTTAATGGTGCAGTGACGATGGCGACGCTTCGATTCTGGACTACAATTGAGCTGGGCGTGCGGAAGACATTCGAGTAAATGGAGCCACATAACACATAGCCCAGAACTGGGCGACCGTCCGTCCGCATCATGGCGATGCTCTTTAGCGTGCATAATGCTCGACAAATGTGTCATTCGCACTGCATATTTGCATAGATGAGGAAGGCATTCTGAGTGCTTAGAGGGGTATGCTTCCTAAACAGAGCTTTCACAAATTTAAAGTGTATACCCAGGCAAGTATCTCATATAATTTCAGGTTTCAATACGCTAAGAGATTCGTATTTCTCTTTTTATTTGTCAAAGTACTTATGGTTATACGTATAGGGTTCTGCTACCCTATAAGCAGAAATTAATTTAAATGCCTATAGCATTGGATAGTAGAATACACAGAATTGAATACTAAAGGAGAGTAAAGAATTAGAACTATATAACTACAGTGAAATTATTTATGTTACCTGCTTAGATTTGAGACAGAATAAGAGGCGACTGAGATCAGATTGCTCTTAAACAAATTATTATTCTAGCTTTTAATATTGTATGATTTATTTCTATAGTTAGTTCTAAGGATATCCTATAAATAAGATGTCTAATTGACTGACACTATACTACTATAGTTATTATATTGTTTTTTTTTTTCCATACTTCCAATAACAATAACAAGGCTATTCGTATATCTGAACCAGAAGGAGTATCTGCTGTCTGCACACCTATGAATAATTGTTGTAAAATAAATATAGGAATTATTATTATTTTTGTATTTCAGCTGACTCCTGTGCGTTCTCCCACGGCGTACCCATATCACCGTTATCCTGACCGTCTGCCCATTTCGGGCACATAATTCTCCTGTACCCTACGACAACTGCGACATGTGCACTGCTTCCGGGCATTATCCACTTGGTGTTAAAGTAAAAATTGCCCAGGCATGCGAATTAAGCATGAAATTTATTAAATGCAAAAAAAAAAGTGGAAAAAAGAAAAGGGTTTGGCAACCTGCTGGACGACGGAGGGTGAGGGATGCGCATATTTTTGTAATCCTTATGGAGTGCAAACAAATTTCTGTGTTGTCAACCTCGCGTGGAATGCTGTGAGGTTGCCAGGGAGCGCAGAGCTCTGCCAGCAACTGTTTCTGCGGCTGCTGCTGCTGCTGCCAAATATGGTGCATGCTTGGAGTAGCTGCTGGAGTGCACCACAGGCTACCGCCGGCACACCGGTTGCACCACCAGCTGTGCACAAATTGCACTCCAGATATTTTTATTTGCTGTGAATATCATCGGCCATGCTACCAAAGATAGCCGCAGCCAGCCCTTTAAGCCAAAGCCAAAGCCGAATCCAAAGCCCCAGCCCCAATGCTCCCACACATTAGTTGGCTAACGGAAAACCATTTGACTTATAAAAGTTGTCTAACAAATTATCAATCAATGTGGAGAGCGTGGGACGAGGTCGAGGCTCTTCTGAGCCAGTTGATAGACCCTCCAGCTGAATGAAGTGCTCTGTTTTTATCTCGTTTGCGCTAATCCAGTAACACCAGTAAAAGCGTTAATAGATATCGGCCAAGTTATTTATGGGCAATGCAACGGATGCCTTCGTCTACGCTTTTCTCTTTGTTATGCAAATCTCTGGCGGCGATTCCTCGGCGCAGTAGGAGTAAATTACCACGCCGATCACATAAGCAAATATTTATGCCACGCAATCGACAGCTGGAGCGGGGTATCTTGACTATCAAAGCAACTGAACTGATGTTGCAGGCGAAAGAGAATATCATTCTGAGTTTATTTTGAATAAGAATGTGAACTGAGTTTTACAGGGTATCTACGAGTTGAGCGAGTGTGCAAGTGTTGAAAATTTCCTACTTGTTTTCACAATGACCGGAATGGTTACCTGTGCTACCCGTTGTCGAGACTTGCAGACTGAATGACTGCAACTGGGCAGCCAGACAGACAGACAGCCGGGAAACCGGGAGACTGGGCAGCTGGGCAACTGGGCAGCCGGCCAGTCAGGCAGTCAGACAGTTTGGGGTCCCTGTCTTGCTTCTCGTTCATTTGTTCATCCGTTTGTTGCAGTGTCAAACAAGAATTATGATCGGCTTAGCCACATGCTGAGCCTGCGCAGAGGCCCAGAGGCAGTTCCAGCCTCAGCTCTCTGAAGTGGCAGTTAGGCTCAAGAGCCAAGAACCAAGAATCAAGAATCAAGAGTCAAGAGAATTGAGAATCGAAAATCGAGAATCAAGAATCTCAATTCAATACAGGTAGAACTTTAAGTGTCTCCACTTTGTGTTGAAATGTATCGTTCCGCTTCTACTTATGCTGAGAGTCGTCTCTGTTGTTCCAATCCCTTATTCATCCATTCCCTATTCCCCATTCCCCAGGTCCACTCCCGTTCCCATTCCCCATTGAAAAGTGTCTCTTGGGCACACGCTGTGATTGTGATCCGTAGCCCTAAGCCGCTGGGGCCCCCTAATGTTTGTAATTAAGAACTTTCACACTCGCAACAATCGCATCGTAAATGTATCTCTTGGTTTAGTGTCAAGTTCCTCTGCGTGGCGAGGGCCCAGCTCCAGAGAGCCTATGCGAATGCGAATATGGTTATTAATTAGAATGCCAAGCTGTTGAATCCGGTTTCTGCTATGAGATATGCGAATATCCATAGTTGGCCTTAAACATCTACAGATATATGTAGATATATAAATATATACACTTAATATCTGGACCTCTATTTGGCGTCGTGTGTACACACATTTAGATTCCTATTGTTTTCCGAGACGCAAAATGTGCGACTAACAAAAACTCTATTTGCACAATTGTATTTGGTCTTCCGATCAGAAATTCACAGTTGTGCTTGCCATCCCCATCCACGGGTAAGTAGTTCGACTTAGTCTAGACTCCGGACGTATCTCATTTAGAAGTCACGTCACTAAATTGTTTATTTGTTCATTAAAAACTAGTGTATTTAGCGAATGACGTTATTCCAAAAGGAATAGAATATAAGAGGGCTAATAGAGAAAATATACATTCTATTCAAAATATGCTTTGACTCTTATCAAATTATTGGATTACCATTTTATTTGTATTCATTTTGTAATTTCATATACAACGAAAGTCGAGTAAATATTTGTATAGCTTGCTCTGCAATCTTAAGCTTAATCCATTCTTTTTCAATTGGTTTCTGCTAATATCGTTTATTCCCACATTCCACACCTTCTTAACGAAGACAAACCATAAAAAGCCATAAAAGAAGTGATCCATGAAGGATGTGATTGTTGAGAGAGAAAAAACTGAAAGCAAGAGTTTCAGACACGAGCGAAACGAACCCATAAAGATTCCGACAATAATGATTCGGCATAAACTGAATGATTAACCAAAAATTCAAATACTTGCCCAAAAAAAGCAAAGAAAAAAATCAAGTTTTGAATAGCCAAAAAATTGTAGCATTGAATTTTGTTGTTTTTTCTTTTTCTGTACTTTCAAGTTTTGATGGCTTTATTTACAGATTGGGCTTTGAGAGGGACAAGCTAAACGATTAGCTAAAACAAATAATCGGTAGGAGAATCTATAAGTTTATATGGGTTTTCTCAACATATATATAAATTTAATTTATTTCCAATAAGTTTCCATATAAGTAATATTTGCGACTCACCTTGAGTGTCGCTGCATTGCCTTGGTATTTAGTGTGCAGAGATTGGAATCGAATATAGTATAACGGTGTATATTCTATATAGTACCTACAAACTTGTTGTTGGCTTAAATGCTATCGCATTCGGTTGGCTTAAAGTCCGTCCCGTTTGAGTTTTCGTCTAATTTATGCACGACTTTTACGAGCCAGGCCAAAACTGAGCTGAAGTCTGAGCCCTTGCATATGATTTGTATTTATGTTTGTTTTGCACATTACATGTTAAATATATCACTAGTTTATGTTTATTTAAGGTTGTTTATTTGTTTATGCGGGCATCTCCATTCATTTGTTTACTCATTCAGTTTGGGAATGGAGCTCTCGCTGTTATTGTTTAAGTATCGAAGTATTTAAGTAGCTTATGCTTAGAGGATTTCACGATTTTATGAGCTATATGAGCGAGTGTTGTTCCTGTGCTTATTGTTGTTGTATTTGTGTTTGTATTGTTGTTTGTTTTGTTGAGCACTTTGCATGAAGGGTTTTGTTGTCGTTTTGTATGCCCAATTGGAAACTGGGGCGTTGTCGCAACATTTAGTATTTTACAACACTGAAAACGTAATGATTTTGTTTGCAATTGATATAGATTTGTTTATTGGTCAGTTGAATGTGCTTGAGCCGTCGCTTGGGCGTTTCGTTAACTTGATGCAACACGAAACTTGCAACTGGCAACAATAAAATTTTGCTTCTGGTCACAAAACGTTTTTCCGGTCTGTTGTTGTTCTAGTTGTAGTTGTAGTTGTTGTTGTTTAACTATAGATTACAAGTAAGGCCGTCGCTGCTGGCTGATATTGAGATTGCTATTGCTATTGCTGCTGTTGCTGTTGCGACTTCTAAGCGCTGCCTTTGGGTTGGCGGCTATTCAACGGATACGTTCCGACGCGTAACTAAAAACTTGGCGCGCGCTCTCACACGAGCCGCAGACGAACGAGCCGCACGGACTTGTCATTTTTGGGGGGTTGTCTGCAGCGACAGCGACAGAGGCCAGAAAAACAGCCAAACACACACAAACACACACACACACACACACATACACACATGGACAGTGGGGAGCCAGAAGCTTTGCCATGCAAACTTTTAGTTGCTCACTCAGAGTTTTTGGCTCTCCCGCGTCGCACACACACACACACACTCGCAACACACCAATACGAACGTAAACTGGTTAACAGCAGCAGCGTTTTATTGGTTTATTTGTATGGCTTCGCTTTGATTAATAAGTTTTCTGATGACAATTTGTTACATGTGAAAACCCGCTCACGTTGTCGCATAACTGAAACATAAGTAAAATTTGTGGGCATGCAAATGAGTGGCCTACATGTACATGTATATGACTCTCTCTCTGTGTCTGGCTGCGCGTGTGTGTGTGTGTATGAGAGAGGCAGCGCAGCCAACGACACCAAAGTCACAAAACGGTCTGCCGCGGCCAGGTGCAGGTGACACTTGAGCCAAGAAAAAAACAGCAAAGAAATACGACGCTTAAAAAGTAAAAAGAGCACCGCTCAGCTGAGCTGGGCCTTGGAGAGAACGACAGAACGAGAGAGAGCGAGAGCGAGAGGCAGTGTGAAGCAAGTGCAAGCGAGCGAGCGAGTGCGCTAGCCCGAGAGCGAATGAACCAGAGAGAGCGCCAATTGAGCGCCACGCACAGCAGGTGTTGCCCTTTTGTGCGAGCGAGACGACAATAGTGCCGAGACTCGCCATCGTTGTCGTCGATTGCTGCCTGTGTCTGTGCTGGTGGGCGTTTCCAATTGTAACTGGCTCTGCCACTGCGAGCTGCCGTCGCCAACTGCTGCTGCCGCCGCCGTGGCTTCTGGTTGGGGGAAGCCTTCTGCATGGCTGGGAGTCGAATGGGAGTCGCGTCGCCTGCCAGCTTCTTTTTTCTTTTTTTTTTATAGTATATTTGTTTATTTAACGCATTTACTTAGCGCTTGCAACTATCGAAAGCAAAATCAACTAATCTTAATGGACACTTTTCGAGCTGATGCTGACATGTTTGGTCTGCTGCCCTTTTTCCTTATGCTTTTCATTTTCATTTTATTTTTTATGTTATTTTTTTCTCGGCTAATATACGCTTTAATATGCAACGCTCGAGTCCTTGGCTGGAATATCAGCTGCCTTTGGCGCATTCGCCGTATTTCATATTCATGCAGCGCTTTGTTCTATTAATTTCCTCGGTGTCCTGTTGCCCATGACAACTACAGTGACTGCAACGGCAACGGCAGCGACTGCGACTGCGACAGCGACAGCGACAGCTCCATTTGTCGCCATTGTTTTTAGAGCTCTATGATTGTGTACAAATATGTGTGTGGGTGTGTGTGTGTGTGTGTGTGTGTGTGGGTGCTGTGCATGTGTCTGCGTGTTTTTTTGTGCTGCGCAGGTGTTTGCTTTTGTTTTGCGGGGCGGTTTTTTAGCGCTGATTTTGATTTAGCTCAACTGCCTCGACTCGACTCGACGCGATTCGACTCGACTCGACTCGGCTCGCTGTTGGGCTTCATTTTAATTAACAACGAACTAATGACAACTGCACACAAACTCAGCGCAATGCTCTAATTCTTATTCTAATTTAATTTGACTCTAATGACTTGAGCTGCTCTTCCACTTCAGCCAAGACACTAAAGGGGTTAGAGCTGGGGCTGGGTTGGGGTTAATGCAAGGCGGGGCTGGCAGTTACCTCTACTTGTTACCTTCTTTGCCAATTGTCAGTCAACAATTGCAAGTTCCGAACAATGGCGCACATTTTTCCAGCTCTCTTTTCACCAACCAACTGACTGACTGACTGACTGATGATTGCAACTGTGCCACTCGCCAAGCGAGGGTAGTTCCACAAGTATTCGTTGTGTACGTAAATTAAAGATAACTGAAAAATCATAAAAGAAAATCATATTTTATTATAGAGAAGAATACCAATAAAGGAATGTACAAATAAGTTTACACCAATTAGTATATAAGTTTATAAACTGCCCTCCATATTTGGATCCGCCTTTTGGTGCTCTCTACGTACTTGGCTCTGGCCATTGTCTTTGGCAATGCTTCTGTAATATCTGCGTCTCCTTTACTGTTAGGCAGCCATTGTTATTACATAGTATACCCTGTATTTAGTTTACCTGATATAAAATGTATCAAGTCGAGTCAGTTAAAAATTAAGAATTAAATCAAACTAATAATTATAACATTAAATAGTTTTATTTGAATATTATATAATCAATATTAATATTAAATATTAATTATTAATTATTAATGCACAATATTCTGGTACCATTATAGGATCAAAAGTTTAGGTCACACTTAATATAAATACTTATAAAAAAAAAAATAAAAATTAGTATAGGGTATTAATCTAGTCGCTGATGCTTTAGCTTTTCTCAGTTGTTTTCGCAATGCATTTGTTTGTCTGTTGTGTTTGTCTATTCGCTCGTTGTTTCTTTCGTTTGTTTGTTTGTCCGCTTGCTTGTTTGTTTGTCGTATTTATCATGGCAGTTGCCTTTGCCTCTCTTCTGCATTCTCTGCACTTGCAAATAAATGTTAATGAGTAGTTGAACAATAAGGCGCTGACAATGCAATCTCAGAGTCCCCTCCACTGGCTCTGAAATGCAACTGAATATAATGAATATACAATATGAATGCGACTACGAATACGAGCTGTATGTATGTATGTATGTATAGCCTGTTAACGGCGCCCATTTAGGTTAGCTTCAGCGATTGGGGTCTTGGGGCTTTAAGCGCTTTAGCGTATGCAAATGCCACAAATCAACGGCAATTCAATGGAGTCTAATGCCTAAATCGCCGTTGTTGCTACTCCCGTTGATAGCGCGTGGAGCGCTGGTGGGGCCGGGCAGGTGATGCCACACATTGCTACCAACTTATTTCAATAGAACATTTTCTGAAAGGCCCGCACAACAAAGGGGCCAAAAAAAAAAGGCGACTGTTGCCATGTAAATTTTGCACTTTTTGTTGCTCATTAATGTTAATCAAAATGGGGGAAAATGGCCAAAGAGCTGCAGCCTATTGAGCACAGCAGAGCCCAGCACCGCTATGGCAACCTGACAAAAGATACCCTGTACAAAGATGACAGCTCAATTTGTGCTAAGCAGACGCCCTAAAGTATGCCGCAAGGTATGAGATTTGATCAATATATTCAGCCTTTAAAGATAGAGAAACTTGGAAAGGAATTGGCTGCGAATCGAACCGCTTTTAATATCTGCACAGGGTATACATATATCCTGTATATACAAGGATTTCCATTTCTACATTTATTCGGGTTACCGCTGCAGCCTCGGTCAGCAGCAGAAGGAGCGAAGCTTCTGCTTCGCTTGAGTCCTGCTCCGATAAGCATCGGCTTCTATTTCATAGGCCACAAAGCAAATAGTTTTCGCAAATTGTTCAAGCGATCGGATAGCTGATTTATCGTTAACGATCGATCCGGCATTTGGCAATTGTGTCGCATGGAGAGCATTAAAACTCGCACACAGACGAAACCAACAATTGAGATGCGCATCACTGCTTGAGTGGCTTTAATCCTTGCGAATTTCAAACGGCAAACACGGATTACAAACACACATGCGCCCGGGCACATATGCAGATAGCCCGTCTGGGATGGATGGAGGTAAACAATGCAGCTGAAACGCTGCCCTGAGATTTGCAGCAAATCGATAAGAGAAACTGCCAAAACCAAAAGCAGTTATGACAACGCATCGATTCGGCGATTGATATGCCAGATATAAGGCAGCATATGTGTTCTCATTGTGGTGCCTGCAGACCCTTCTCTATCGCTGGCAGACCGAATAGCACACAATGACAGCCAAGATCTTTTTTTACTCAACTTGTCTAATGTTTCACAAACTTATTCTGGGATAAAAACAAACATTTCTTATGCCTTCCTTTCCTTATATACTCGAGTATACGCAATCAATCTCACACTGCAGTAAATAATATTTAAATTTCGCATACTTTGAGATTTCCAAGATTATCCAATATACATGCTCACTCGTTCACCTGAACAGCGTTCCACAGACCAAAAATGTCCGACAACGCCCTCGCCACAAATTTACCAAAGACGAATGATCCAATATGTGAGCCAAGAGAAAACCCTTCAACTGTCATTCAAAAAGAAGCAGACAAAGGGGAAAACTAATATTCGAGGAAATTTGTGAAAAGCGCAAAACTGAAAACTGAAAAGCAAAAGAAAAATCGGATAATGCCAAGAGATTCATCTATTTAACTAGAACGCCAGAAGAACGCATGTAATTGACTTTTGTGTGCGCATTTTTTCATTCATTGATGACAGACAAAGGAGTGAAGAAGCAGCAGAGCTGAGTTGTTGCAGAAGCAGCCGGTGCGACAATTCATTGACTGCGCAGACACCCGGACGACTACGAGCGGGCTCCGAGCTGGCCGAAAACCCAGACAAACTGGCGCGACCCGCCGGCCCTAACGAATCATCTCTCAATGGTCAAAGTCCCTCAATGGCGCAACGTGCTGCTTCAGTCTCTACATGTCTCTCTCTCTCTCTGTCTCTATCTCTGCTCGCTAAGGATACGCCGAAAAAGTGTCAAAATTCCTATAATCCGCTTAAAGGTGTTTTAATGCCCAGCTCTGCAGGCCGAGCTGGTCAAACATCTTCTCCTCCTCCACATTTTGGTTTTGTGCTCTTGCCACCTTGCCAGCGCGTTTCACATGAATGAATTTTCAATTTGCTGCAGCGCATTGTCTTGGCAACGGGCTGCCGCCCGCGTCCTGCCATTCAATGTGGCACGTAGGTGTTTTTTGTCCGCGTCATTGTCTCTGCCTTTGGCCAGAACAATGCCACAGCGGGCTACGGACATCGGACGGACGACGGACACTGAGCATCACAAATGGCCGCATGACCAGCCAGCTAGCCAGCCAGGATAATGCGCGCTTCTTGCCAGAGTTGGCTACCAATAAACAATAAAAACAACAAATACACACACGCACACATACACAC